GGCTGGCTTTCTGATCTTTGGCTTGAACCCCAATATCTGTCTCTGGGTTTTTATTATTTGTTACAATCCATAGCTCCAGAGGGGTTCAAACCAGATGGCTTTACCTTTTTTTTCTTTTGGGTGAAGTGTCAGGGTGCCTCCAGAGCACTCAGCATAGTCTATGGTGGTTTGGGGAAAAAAAAAAAAAGACCCCATAGAAGTGTCACTATTGCTGGGTGGTGGTGGCACACGCCTTTAATCCCAGCACTTGGGAGGCAGAGGCAGGTGGATCTCTGTGAGTTCGAGACCAGCCTGGTCTACAAGAGCTAGTTCCAGGACAGCCTCCAAAGCCATAGAGAAACCCTGTCTCAAAAAAAAAAAAAAAAGTGTCACTATTAGGAGGTATGGCTTTGTTGAAGTGGGTATGGTTTTGTTGGAGGAAGTGTATCACTGTGGAGATGGGCTTCTAGGTCTCCTATGCTCAAGCTACACACAGTGACACACACTTCCTGTTGCCTATGGGTCAAGATAAAGAACTCAACCAGGCAGTAGTTGTCCTGCATGCCTTTAATTCCAGCACTCTGTAGGCAGAGGCAAGTGGATCTCTGTGAGCTTGAGGCCAGCCTGGTCTACAGAGTTCCAGGAGAGCCACAGCCAGGGATGTTGCACAGAGAAACCATGTCTTGGGGGAAAAAACAAAACAAAACCCCCAAAAGTAGAACTCTTAGCTCCTTCTCCAGCAAGATGTCTACTTGCAGGTCACCACAATGATAATATACTAAACCTCTGTAACTATTAGCCACCCCAACTAAATGTTTTATAAGAGTTGCCGTAGTCATGGTGTCTCTTCACACAAACTCAAAGACATGGTTAGAGAGGATTTTTCTGGGTCCAAGAATATCTCAGGTTGTACACCCTCTAGCTATCCTCTCCAGCTGCTGCACTCTTCACCAATCTTGGGATCCCAAGGGTCCTAAAGTGTCAGGGTTCAGTCTCTGGAGATCTTGCTGGGGGACTCCAAAATGTAATGGGGAGCCCATTAGAGATGACCACTCAGACAAGTTTATACCCAATTGAAAATCTTTATTCCAGCCAGCAGGGACTACTCGGGTATTCAGGACTCAAGTGTAGTCCCGAGCATTTAGAGCAAGGGTTTTTTAGGGTTTTGTTTTGTTTTTTAAGATTTTATTTATTATGTATACAACATTCTGCTTCCATGTATATCTGCACACCAGAAGAGGGCACCAGGTCTCATAATGGATGGCTGTAAGCCACCATGTGGTTGCTGGGGACTGAACTCAGGACCTCTGGAAGAGCAGTCAGTGCTCTTAACCTCTGAGCCATCTCTCCAGCCCGAGCAAGGGGTTTTTAAAGGCAAAACCACCTTGTGCTATCTCCTTCAGCTGCTGACAAGGAGGTTTTGCATGAACGGTAGTTTAACAAAAGCTAAGATAGCAGTTGGAGGGTGGGGTGGTGCACAAGTGAAAGACCCCCGAAGAGGTACTTTCGTAGAGGGAGACCCGCACCCAGGAATCAGTGAGACCACGAGCTTGGATGCAAAACCGCAAGAGGCTTTATTGGAGATACGGGTACCCG